CTAGATGATGACCTAAATGACGCAGGCCGGTGCAGGTCTGGTAATAACATAGCTCTCTGCAGAAACAGTAACCAACCTGTGAATTACAATATATTGATGTCTGCAGCAATTGCAAATCTAGTACGCATTAATGTGCCTGGAAACACACAAATCATATAAATGAATATTGACCTAAATTTGTGTGCTTTCTGTTCCCAAATTAATGTTCTCTACAATATAAGGTCACAATAGAGATCAGTAGTGGTTTATGGTGCTGTCACGGCAGCCCAATATTCTTACATGTTAATTACTCTGGTGTATTTCCTTTATCAAGACTTAAAGTAATATTTCATTCAGTAGTTAAATCTTAAAAATGCTTATGATCACCTGGGACTCTCAGCCAGAGGGGCTCAGACGTGTCAGGAAGCAAGGGTTTGTCAGGATTAAGCTTGGGATCCTGGAACTGGGAGGTTTCAAGGTGATTCAGGAGGGAAGATGAGATCCCCAGTCCTGGGTCCAGGCTTTAGCAATAACCAGCACTCAATATTTGCACAGGTGTGCACAGCCATTAAGAAAAGGATACTGGCTAGGGGAATTAGCTCCTGCTGGGAAACAGGAACAGACCGTGTTCAGGTGTCAGGAGAATGTCCCCAGAAGTCAGAGAGGAGTCAGGCGAGCTCCTGCTGGGATAGGAACGGACAGTGTTCAGGAGTCAGGAGGACTTCCCCAGAATCTAAAGTGGAGTCAGGTGGTGAGTGTGCTGGAGGCACACTAAGACAGCCAGGGAGGCTGGGAGAGAACTGGTGAGGCTAGGAGAGCCGGCCACCAGTACAAGTGTGGGACAGCACTTCAAAGAGGATCAGTGGGTCAAAAGTGCTACTGTTTAAAGTGGAAGCCAGGAGGCTATTCTTGTGTTGCTTTGAAGCCTTACATGAATGTATTGCTGAACTACCCCTGCGAGGGTATCCAAGATGGACTTTATTTTTTGAATAAAAGTTGGCTACCAAGCCCTTGAACTGAAGATATTGTGGCCAGAGATGTTAAAAATAATGTGAAATGTGATGTCATCAAAACCTTTCATTTATAAATAACAGAAAATGGATTTACTCCTATGATTTGTAGATGTCAAAGCAAGATAGGATAATAACCAGGTGACAGTGTTGTGGAAAGAAGGCTTTGCAATTATGGCAACATCACTCTTTTTCATGTTCATGAGTTTGAGTCTGTGTTGGGGAGATTTCTCTTCACTTTCTGTCCAATAGCCACAGCAGGAAGTGAAAGGAAATCCCTTAAAAGAAAGGGAAATCAGCAGGGTCACCAGAATTAGTGCCCTTATTTAAATAGAATTTGGGATTGTCACTTTCAGTGATAACGGTCACCATGACAAAAAGAGAGAGTAATCTCCCTAACTGGGACACAGACAGCAATAAAAACCTGACAGCTTTTCTAATCTCTTTTCACTCCATCCAAAACTAAAAAAGTGTTGGCTTCAGTTGCATTTTAAAGTGAAACTAAACTCAGGCGTTAAACCCTAAAAATGCATTCAAGTACCTTAACTACTGTATGAACAAAAATATACATTATTAGTGTATCACTCAGCTGTAGATCCTCAAATCATCTCTGAATTGGTGCTGACACTGTCCTTACTTCTGGAGGGTGGCTACTTTTGTCCCCCACGGTCCCTGTGTGTGTTGTAAAGTAGTCACCACTCCAAGCTCACTCCTGTGATGGACTACATTCTCAATACAATTTAGTAAACTAAAGTTGAGATTGTAGTCTATTACAGTGTGTTATAAAGTAGCCACTTCTCCACGCTAGCTCTCGTGATGGACTACAATCTCATGTTTAGTTTACTAATTTGTATTGAGAATGTAGTCCATCCCAGGAGGGAGCTTGGAGCGGTGACTGCTTTACAACACACACAGGGACCATGGGTACAAAAGTAGCCACCCTCCAGAAGGAAAGACAGTGCCAGCACCAACTCAGTGATGATTTGAGGATCTGCAGCTGAGTGATACACAAAAAAGGTCCAGTATTGTTAATAGGTAGTGTATTTGAATGCATTTTTAAGATTTAACTCCCGGGTTTAGGGCCATTTTAACTATTTTAACACCTTCTGTTTAAATATTAGGTCCCATAGCAGAAGGCCACATAGAGTGTGGAGCCCTTGACAGTCAATTATCTTAGATGGGCAAGATAATTACTGACATTCCTACCACATGTACAATTACTTTGTAAATTACACATGGCAACATGCTAGTTTATCTAATTAGTGACCCGTTGCATGTCAAAGGGCTCTTTTTGGGGTTACAGATTCCATTTAAAATTCCCATCCCTGTAATATCTCATCCTTAGCATAGTTCTGATACTTGTTTACATGGATATATAATGCTTTTAGTGGTGCCTTTTTTCCAAGCAGACTTCCCTATAGTTTACAATTACCAAACATTTTTCTCCCTATGCGAGAGTTGTTGAGCACTGACTCCATTATAAGAAACCTGTAGAAAATGCAATGCAGATGACTAAACAAACACACTGACATAGAATCAAAACAGCTGGCTGCAAGTGTCATTGTAGGCAAGACCGCACATTCTCACTCCAAACCAAGACTATGCTGTCTCTATACTGTCCAGTATAGAGCTGTCATATGTCACAACCAGCTGATAGAGAATGAATGAACTAGGGAATACAAAAAACGCACCACAGACAAGCACATTACTGCAAAGTAATTACAACAAATCTCAGCTCTAGATCCCCTTGGGACGTAGAAAATCCTGGAATGCATAAACAGTTAACAGTGGCAATGCCAGAAGGTGTAACTAGAGAACTGACACACATACCTGATTCTTATATGAAAATATTCAAAGATAACAAATACAATAAAAAAACAAGCTATCATCCATGAGTGTCTGATGCTGCAGAGTTATTATTATTAATAAATAATTTCCTGTTGAGCTGTAAAACAAATTATCAGGCTGAAGAGGATGTTTCAATCTTTCAAATTTTTTTTTTTTTTTACATTTCTGACATAAGTTCCCTCTGTATAACATAAATAGAAGGGGTATCTCCTCCACACGTGTATAGGAAATCTGACGTTATTATGACCCCAATTCACATTATGCTAAAGACTTAACAATGTGCAAACAATATGACACAAACAATGGATCAATCATCTCAAGTACTGAGAAAGAACACATCACCATACTGACAGAAGCCTGCTTAAGGACTTGAGAATACATTGCACAGGGAATGATGCATTTTATGAGCACTGTGCCAGCAGGTAAAACATCATTACTATTACTGTCCCACACTGTAAAATAACATGGACATTGAGCATATAAGCTTGCTGTTCTGTGCAACTTTCATCTGCTACACACTATTGCTGGTATACCCCTGTCATACTGTAAAGTGGGTCATTAGTCCTACTTACCAGTCATCTAGGCTAACAAGACAGGAGGCATTTCAGATTGTGTGCAAGCACTAAACTGAAGCTGCCAATTCTAGATATCAAAGATATCTGAGTCTCTATAGATGTCAAATGCTGTGAAGGTTAATTAAAAAAAGAAAATACCTCCTTGCACTTCCTTCCTCAGGTGACCCTGACACGCAACAAATTCATAGCAACTGCAGCTTCATTTGAGTTTATGACATAATTTTTGAATGATATTAATTTAACCCCCTTTGAGTGATGTATGTCATTTGGACCCACATGTACACACTGCATACATTACAGCAACCTAAGCCTCTGGCTTCCAAGTTACTGTAGAACTACAAATTTCAGAACAGTAAGCATATGGCTTGTTGAGCGAACTCTAAATTGTAGTTCCACAGCATCTCAGCAAGACACAGGTGGCATGATATCATATCTATGTCTTCTAGAATCTAAGGATCATCAGTAAGCAAAAGGCAAAAACAAGCCAGTGTTGCAGCTACTGTAAAACTACAAATTCCAGCATACCAAGCATTTTGGATGGCTGGGCAAGCTTTAACTTGTAGTTCTACAGGACCTTAACTAGTCACAGGTGGCATGATATCATAGCCATTGTTTCTAGCTTCTAAGAATCACCAATAGACAAACTGCAAAAGCAAACCAGTGCTGCAGCTACTGTACAACTACAAATCCCAGCATGGCAACCCTTTGACTGGCTAGGCAAGCTTTGACATGTAGTTCCACAGCATCTTAAAAAGACACAGGTGGTATGGTATCATATCCATTTCTAGAATCTAATAGTCCACAGCGAGCAAAAGGCACAAATCAGCCAGTGCAGCAGCTACTGTAGAACTACAAATCTCAGCTTTGGCTGGCTGGGCAAGCTTTCACTTGTAGTTCCACAGCATCTTAACCAGACACAGGTGCTATTATATCATATCCAAGTCTTCTAGCATCTAAGAATCACCAGTGAGCATAGGGCAAAAACAAGCCAGTGCTGCAGCTACTGTAGAACTACAAATCCCAGCACGGCAAGCCTTTTGCTGGCTGTGCAAGCTTTGACTTGTAGTTCCACAGCATCTTAACATGACATGGGTGGCATGATATCATATCCATGTTTTCTAGAATTACCAGCAGATAAAAGGCAAACATTGATATGTGTACTGTCAAAAAGTATATATGTCTTTACCTTTGTAAATCTCAGCACTGAACCTTACATAACATCCCTGTCAGTGACAGCAAAGTCATTAGCAATCAAAGAGCAGCTACTACTAGAGAAATCAATGTATTCTTCAATGGCTGTCCCTTACCTGTCTTATATGACAAGATCCATGCTATACACCTAAGTTCAGTACCTGTAGAGCAGTCCTAAGGGATCAGCGCAGCAATGACAATCTCATTACGCACGATGTCTGTCATATACGATCTACACATGCAGTATACAGTATTTATATGTATACAGTAACCTCAATTACCCCAGGTCCCCCAAACCAGTCAACGTGCTGCTCGGGATCCCAGCCTCCCCACAAAAAAAGTGCTGCACCAATGACAGAAGTGCCGGTCACTTCACCCCCCCACCTCCTGCACTCACCAGAATGAAAGAGATCAGAGCAGAACACCAAGGTGGATGGGAAGAGCACGATCTTCAATGAAAGTCCCCAAAAATCCATTCCCCTTGCTGGGTGCAGCTGGAAATGTGAGCGCTGGAGAGTGACAGGCAGCCCAGGATTCCCCCTAGATGGAGCAGGTTGCTAATTTGCTCAGATCCTGAGAGGGACTGGCTCAGCTCCGGGGGATGCCTTTTATTTTTGGTTGTTGTTACGGATTGAAGAGAGAAACAGATATTGTAGGATAAGGCAAAGGGGAACCCTACAGACGCTTCACAGCAACTGCAGTCAAACACAGACCTTAGAAGTGATTGTAGGGATCCTATTACCATGATCATGTGACAGGATACATACTACACACACACAAATGCTGCTCTCTTTTTTCTTCTTTCTCTATTCAGACAGTTGAGTGGTGATACTACCTAGAGAAACACAGGGAACCGCTTCAAAGGGTGGGGACAAGGCTGTACAAATGTCAGATATCCAGGACAAGGACAGAAAAAGAATGACAACTGAACTTCAAGAGTATATCAACCCAAAAGCAAAAATATAATATATCGTAGCTTACCAATTCTTAGATATGTTGGCTGCCTTGGTTTTCTTTTTTTTAGGCTTTTTTTCTCTTTAGTTTCACCTGGTGATCCTGCCAATAAGTTTCAACTTCTTTTAAAGGAGAACTATGGGGCAACGTTTTTTTCCCCATGGTTCTCCTCAGGGTCACAGAGGACATATATAGGGTTATTCACGAAAGGGTGAATGGTTTGGAGATGGCAGGAGAAGTGAACAAGCTAGGACAACATAGCTGATTTGGAACAATTATCCAATTCAGCTCACTTTCCAGGTCAGCTATGTTGTCCTAGATTGTTCACTTCTCCTGCCTTCTCCAAACTCTTCTCCCTTTTGTGAATAACCCTGATACTGTGTCCTTCCGTGACCCAAAACTCAGCTGAGAGCGCTGCAGCCAGATCTCGACAATACAAGCGAGATCCACTCCGCTGGCTGATTGACAGCTGGCTCTGCCTATCTAGAGGTAGAGCAGGCTGTGCTGTCCTCTCCCGCATCCATCCCTACAGTCAGCCCTGGAGGATCGGAGAGGGAAGGGGGGGGGGGAATCCCTGCAGGGAGTGGTGACTGACAGTCACCGCTCTCTGCAAGGAGATGATCGAGAACTGAGCGGATCGGCATATGTTCTCGCTCGCTACCTGGCTTCTAGACCAGTCCGCACAGCCTCTTCTCTTCAGAGCTCCTGTGGCCTAAGGACCACTGATGTCGTCATCGAATGCAGGTGCATTAACTTACTTTAGACATGAGGATGCCAGGGGACATACCACAGATGGAGAGGAGCTGGTGGGCACTTGTTACCGCAGGACCAACTATCAGGTAAATATATCTTCCTAATTTGCAGCCATAGATAAAAACAAGCACTTCAAATCCCTTCTGTAAAGGGTATCTGTGACCAAAAACCAACAATAAATATGTATTTCTATATTGAATTTCCAAAACTTATATCTGACTCCTAATAACCATATACATCTAGACGTTTGTAAACTTACTTATTGAAGATGCCCATAGGATGTACTTCCTGAATGTACTGTCACAATTTCACTCAGCCTTGTGAAAATGCACTTCCTTGTGTCACAGCTCTCACAGAACCTGCCTTCTGAACAACATCTGAACGATGTAACATTATCATTGCTTGCTGGAAGCAATGCATGAAGGGATATGTATTCTTGAGAAATTGAGACTGCTTCATATTAATCATCAGGGGAAAAAAGATGCAAAGCACGCTGGAAACCCAGGAAGCTGTTGAAAGTGATGGGCAGACGGAAGGCAGCACTGACTACATAAAAGGGATTTCTTCAAGTAAGGTTTGATTGCATTATAAAAAAAACAACAACTCTAGTATGTATTCTTCCTATTACAATGCTGATGTTATAACAGGATAGTATATGCAGGGACTTTACAACTCCTTTAACAGGCCACGCTGTCCAGCAAAACTGACAGATAGAGAGTAGAGACAAACACTTAAAAGAGAACTATAGCCCAAACTTTTTTTGTAAAGTTCTCTTTAGGGTCACAGGAGGACATTTACTAATATGCTTCTGTGACCCAAAACTCAGTATATAGCGGGCTATTGTCTGCAGTATGCTGACAGTGCAGACCTGCGCTGCAGCTGGGAGAGATCCCTACAATATTTGTCGGGATCCACCCGGCCACCTGATTGACAGCTGGCTCTGTCTCTCTAGAGCTCTCTTCTGTCCCTCCAGTCAGCCCTGGAGAAATAGAGAGGGAAGGGGGGAATCCCTTTAGGGAACGATGACTGACAGTAGAAGATCATGAACTAAGCAATCAGCGGTATGTGATCGCTCTGTTCTCGATTAATAGCGTTCTCGATCAATAGAGCCGACGTGTGACAGCTGCAGTGTTACACATCAACTCTAACTATTGGGACAAGTGCATTTCACTCATCTCATATTTCTCCTTTAACACTGACAGGGAGCGCTTACAATGCTCAGCTTTTGCTCATTTATTTAAAACCTTTATCCTATTAAAAGGGGGAAAAAACTGTCACTGTAACTGCTTAAAAAGTGTTAGCTGGAGTTCAGATTGATTTGATAGTCAAGTCCATCGAAATCTGCTCCTCCATCTAAAGCTGCGTATACATTAGTAGCACTAGTACCAGCTTTTTGGGTGAATGAAAAAAAAAAACTACCAGATTCTTCTATCTATGGTAATCAGCGTGGATAGAGGAATCTCCCTCTGCAGCTATTGCATCTTGACAGTTGGTTGTCAAAACATCTGAACAATGTCTGCATATGATTGGATGAAGGTGCTGTTCGGCTGACAATTTTTCACCCGGCCCTTTCTGTTTTCAACTGAAGAAAGTCGGGTGGGAGGTGGCAGACAAGACCACACATTGAGCGAATTGCACACCGTGTGTAGCCAGCTTAATACAACCCTCTCCACATAGTGACCCTGCTGCTGTTCAAGGGTGGCTTCATTGCTCCTCCATAGAGGGCAGGAAATGGGTCACTGGCCAGATCACCAGGTGAAAAGAAAAGAAAAAGAAGCCTAAAAAAAAGAAAACAAATGCAGCCACCACATTTAACGATTGGTAAGCTGCAACATATTACATTTTTGCTCTTGGGTTTAGATACACTTTAGGCTGGTCATACACGGGTGGCTTTTAGAATGAACACTCAGCATCCACTTTCCTCCATAGATGGATGCCTTCCTGAATTCGGCTGATCCGAAGCCACACGAAGCAAGCCGATGTACGGCTGATTTCAGCCGATATACGGCTGAAATCAGCCGTACCAGCCTGAAGTGAATAGCCGAAACAGTGTTCGGCTCACTTCACTTCTGATCGGTCATTCACTCGGCTGCCCTCGGCAGCTTTGTGAATAGACCCCTTAGTTTCACACACTCAGAGCAGAGCGATTTTCTGCAACCATTTTGTTACACAACAAGTTATAATCTGTTAAATATGACTGAAACTGACTGATGGGCATGAGCCGGAAGACCTGAGAGGTTAGACCATTCCCTCTGCTGTTACTTCTCTGGGGATTTTTTTCTTTAAGGGGCAGAGGTACCCTGTAAATGAATGAATTAAGCTATTGTTTATGGTGTTGTCACTGCGTGTGCTCCTGATGTCTAAGGAAGCACTAGTGGTGACATCCATGCAAATATTTCCTCCTTGACAGGGCCAGAGCTGAAGCTAATGTACGTGGTTGCTGAGTTAAGGTTCTATGGTTTATTGTATCTCGTTTGATGTGTCATCTTACTTGATTATGCTCTTGCTGACAGCAAGACACAGAGTGCCAACCAACTGCTGTTATACGGTTTCAACTAACCCACAATACCCCGTTGTCAATGTCTGTATATATGTACATCGATCTTTGTATCTGCACTTCTACACCCTGAGTTGTTGATGTTTTTCTCTTGTTTCAATAAAATAGAAAAATCAAAAAAGAATGAACAAAAAAAAATCTCATCAGAACATAATTCCATCAGTCTTGACGAAATTTCATTTGATTTTAACATTCCATTTAGGAAACAATGGGGTTTCTTGAATGAAAATTGAATGAGAATTTCGTTTGAAAAAATAATTTCCATCCTGCTGCTTCGATTTTTTTCATCACTTCAAAATAGAAATCATTCATCGATTTGATCCCATTAGAAAACTGAACGAATGCTATGAAAATGAATTTATTCGAACAAAATTCTACTGATGCATGGTCAGCTTTACAGTATTAATCAGCCTTTCAAACAAACCTCTTTTTGCATGCAATAAAATATTAAAGTTTGTGTATTTATATTCTGTACAGCTGAAATAAAATATTTTCACTAACTCTGCAATGGCCCTCTGAGTTTGCCATGGTTCTGGACTCCAAATGAAACATGTCAATATTGTGTTATTCATACACCCTTATTTATAAACAGAGCAAGGACATAAGTGCAGTGATATAGATCACTAGAACAACTAATAAGAAATCAGTTTAGCACAAGATGGATTCAAATTGATTGTACCAAGGGTGTCGGTGCACATTCATTAAAGCTGAAGTAGAGTCAGAAAATATAAAAAAATTGCTAGGATGTATGGATTTTTGGCAGAAGAGACCAGCAAACAGAATCTCTTCTGCCAAAAAAACATCTCCCTCTTTTCCTCAAGTGATTTTTTTTATTCTCTGTATACACTGTACAGCGCATGCGCCGTGCAGTGTTCAATCTCGGCTTATTTGCAGAATCTCTGAGATGCCGTTAATGGGCCTGCTACATCATTATCAGTGGCCAACTAATAGCCAAAGAGGATGCCTAGGAACCCAGAAGTGGCACCGGGGGACAGAATAGGCATTGCACAGTGCTGGAGATTGGCACATTTGTAAGGTAAGCGCTCCATAATGTGCAAGTATGCTGTGCATATCTACATATTATGGCAAACACTGACCCAGCGCACAGTGGTTTATGTCCACTTTATGTTCATACAGGAGTTAAAAAGAAGCATTTGTTAAAGCATTCGCTGACCGCATATAGAATTGCAATTCCTATTTTTTAGCACGTTTAGCCCCCATTTACACCTGAGCATTTTATTGCATGTTTAACAAAGCATCCCAATATTTTCAATGGTGCCTATTCGCACTCTAGCATAGTGCTGCTTGTAGCTCGAAAAAGTACATTGCATGTTTTTGGCTCCATAGGCTTTAATGGGAACTCCTGAAAAACATGCGTAAAGCCTAACAACCATCTCCTCCTCCTAGTAACTAGGCTTTCATTGGCTAAAACAAAAATGCTCAAACCTGAAAGCTCCTCAAAAA